CCCCTTTTCAATTCAGCACCACCAGTGGATTGTGCCCAGTGCCTTCAGCCTTCCTATGATGAAAACAAACAAAAAAAGTTCAGCAACACAGAATATAACTGGTTTATGGTGGCATAAACAGTTAAGAGTTAACACACCTCTTTTCTTGAAGATCTCAACACTGCACTAGCTTCCTTTCGACTATCACTCCGTTAGTTTTAACGCACCTAACGGACCAGTACATTACATTTAATTTTTTAATTATTGCATTGTCCCATAAGTTTGTTAAAAAGAGCCCTACAAAGAGAGAATGTTGACAGGCATGAGAGTGTTACCCATCTATACAGTAAACAAAAGAGTCAGATGCGAGCATGCACTTCTTAGGTCATCTTAGAAATCAGAGCTATCCAGTTCCCCAATATCCTTACCAAAGTAAACGGAGTATTGAGAAAAGTGATCATGAGGTCTGCTACGGCGAGGTTCGCAATGAAAAGGCTGGTTGCGAAGTGCATCCGTTTGTTTTTGATCACGACATGACAGACCAAGACGTTGCCAAACAGAGAGAATACGATGATAAAGGAGTATGCCACAATGAGAAAGATCTTCACCAAAATATTTTGGGATCCAGCCCCGTACTTTCTCCCGTCCAAAAAACTCTGCCAGTCGGCAAGGGTATAATTTGTCCAAGAAAAGAAATTAGAGACGTTCGGTATTTCAACAGATCTTCCAAAACTTCCGTTGAACACCACTGATCTCTCAAGAGCAGTCGCCAAGTAAGGGGAGAAGAGCCACATATAATAAGTAACCATTGCTGGGGGGAGGGGGGGAGGATCACGCCCCTTTTTTCAAAGTCAGAAGTCCCTCTCTCTAACACCGAGCATCATTCGCCAAGTTGACAAGACACATAATGCCAGGTGTCTTGCTTAGGAGAGGCAATGTTTAGGATTGTGAATGAGATCTAGAAAGCCTCAAGCTAAAATACCACTGGATGCCACAGCGGATTGCTGCATCTTCATAGGTCTGCCACACAATCAAGGCACATTTCGCACAGCGTGTCAGCAAATTGTCTCTTGAGAAGCTTGGAGAACTAGAAACTGCCGATTGGTTTACACAGATTTCTACTCTGACGTGTAGTTTAAACTCGCTCCCCTCTCCCGTCTATTGTCTGCTCCCGTACTCGCCTCCCCCCACCCACCCGTCCAAGCCGTACACCAAGGAAAAAGAGAACCCATCCATTACTCTCATGTTTTGTTCCTTTTCCCTCGATGCTGAATGGCCTCAGCTAATTAGCTGGTCAGTTTGTGATGCTGGCTACTCAGCTTGACAATCTAATTAAGAAGCATGCTTTTGAGTGAGCTGCAGGCCAGTTTTTCGCTTTGTGCAGGAGCACTCAAGCCTTCGAGGTGGCTGTCTACTTGAAAAGAGGTTAATATCGGGTGGGTGGGGGAACTACACAACTTCAGCAGCTTCCACCTCAATCTAAAGCACTTGGCCTGTAAGTCAATATTCACACTTTCCTAAGGTGGTCCCAGCGCTCAAGAGAGAGAAGTGCAAAGTCCTACACTTTGTTGTTGTTCAGTCGCACAGTCGAGTCCGACTCTTCGCGACCCCATGGACCATCTCCCGCCAAGCCCTCCTGTCTTCCGCCGTCCTCTGAAGTTGGCTCAATTTCATGTTCATTGCATCGATGACACTGTCTAACCATCTCATCCTTTGCCGTCCCCGTCTTATTTGACCTTCAATCTTTCCCAGCATTTTGTACACTTAGGTACAAAAAATCAAAGGCACAGATTTAGAATGGGAGGGACTTGGCTTGACAGCAGCACATGTGAAAAGGATCCAGGTGTTCTGGTTGATCACAAGTTAAACATGAGCTTACAGTGCGATGTGGCTGTGAAGAAAGCTAATGCAATCTCAGGATGCATTAACAGAAGCATTGTGTCCAGATCACAGGAGGTGGTAGTACCACTCTATTCTGCTATGAGCAGGCCTCACTTGGAGTACTGTGTCCAATCTTGGGCACATTTTAGGAAGGATATTGACAAGCTCAAGCGTGACCAGAAGAGGGCAACCAAGACGGTGAGAGGGTTGGAATCCAAGTCTTATGAGGAAAGGCTGAAAGAGTTGGGTCTGTTTAGCCTGGGAAAGAGAAGGCTTAGAGGGGACATGAGTGTAGTCTTCAAGCATTTGAAGGGCTGTCATGTAAAAGATGGAGCGGATCTATTCTCTCTTGCTCCGGATCGCATGACTAGATCTAATGGGTGGAAATTACAAGGGAGTCATTACCGGCTAAATATCAGGAGAAACTTCCTAACTGTAAGAGTGGTTCACAGGATCCGAGCCATTTGCTCTTGTTGCATGTTTATGAAATCAGTGCTTGTAAGATCCCCGTGGCTAGAGTGAATAGGGGGCCATTGCTCACAGGTGTGTGTCAGCAAGGAAGACTGTGATGGGGCTCGCTAGCGACAGTCTGTGGACTCCAGCAAATGCCCATCCGTTACCCACAATGTCCATCAGCATACCACATTCCCACAGGCATGGCTGTCTCCTTGTTAAAACCTTCGTACCTAGGATCAACAGGTCCTTTCCATTAAGAAAGCAGACATTTTAAAAGGTGAATGGAATAAATTTGTAAGCATTTTTATTCATTTACACAGCCAGTCGTAAGTGTTGGGTTTTAATAAGCCAGACGCCTTTATATATGAAAAACATACACACAACTTGCATGCAGCGTCCGTGGTCGAAGGACTGCATATAAAGACTGCATATAAAGCAGTCTTTAGAAGGGAAAACATTAAAATCACACCTAGTAAACCATAATAGATTGTGATCCTTGTAGACCTCTTTACTTCTAGACAAGGGTGAGAAAAAAACACTTAGCGTTATTCAGGTTGAAGAGTAAATCAAGCACAGCTAGAAGAAAGTATTTTTGCACCCATGACCTCCTATCTGTCAATAAGGGCCCAACTCACGTATCTGTCAGGAACCAAAGACTTATGATTCGTTTTGATACACATGGAAACCGACTCCCATTTTGAAACTGCCATTTTGTGCTATGTAGGTAGGAATGCGGTATCCCCCATCTCCAGCAGGCAACCCAATATTAATCAGTTTCCATATGGACCCTTGACCCACTCCAGTAAGTAAAGCCTTCTCTGGCTGTGGGGCAGTTTTCTCTCCCTTCTGGGTATTTGGCAATGGAAATTTTACTAGCGTCCTGGCTTCTCCTTTGAATGTTCTCAGAATGGCTGCACACAGGGTGACAGAACCTGACACTTGTCTATAGTCCAGCTGCTACGTATAATAGGCAAGGGAAAACCAAAACATTAAGACTAGGAAGAGTTATCAGGATTCAGAAAACGAAAACGACCCAGAAGAATCCAAAGACAAGGCGCCTTATTTTAGACACAACCGCTACTGCCCATTTCTTCTTATTGCAACCTCCAGGGCCTCTAATATGCTTCCTTGTTGAATCAAAACAAACCAACATTCCTGAATATTCTAAAACACACAGAAATCTTGATCAAATAACACAGGAGAAATATAAAAAATTCAGAAAACCACCAGCCTTTTGCACACACATGTAACATTCCTCGTTTCCCCCCCCCCAAGATGGTTAAAATATCTATAAAAATACAACATGGACTTTCCATATGAAAATATATCATATCACTTCAAGCTGATCCACTACAAAGGGTTGGAAATGTTGAATTGATCTTCAGGTAAGTCCCTTGTTATACTGCTTTTTCCCCAAGTTATTGAAACAATGGAGGCTATTTGGGACGTGGAACAAAGCACAGGTACCTGAAATAAGAAATAGTCGTTGAGTACCGGCATGTATGTACCATCTTCTCAATGAACTGCTTTTGATCCACAACCGTAAAACTCACGCCAGCTTTTAACTGCAGACATCCAACCAGTATTCGCTCAACGAAGATCGCCTACCGTTGGGATTCCTAGAGGAACACTTCTGTGCATCCATAGTCCTACAGCTACATGTATATGCTCTGCGTATGTGTAGGCCTTTGCGCCAAAAAAGTGCTTCAAAAGGTCGTAAATGACTTCATGAGAAAAATCAGACATTCTATCCAAACACTTTGCAGGCTCCTCTTACAGGAGGCAACAAAAAAAAATTCACGACAGAGACAGATGGGAGTTCTATCGATATGGCCTTTGGAATCGTTTTAAAGTGATACAAAATCCCTTTTCCCTGACTAAAACGTGTCGGGCGTGGGCAGCAAGGATGTTGCCCGTTCACACATCCAGGCATGGTTCAGATATAAAGAGCAAACCAGTGTTTGCCGCTGTGCAGATGAACCTGCGGATGCGCAAGCCCATGCCCCCTCCCTTCCCGCGGGGCAGCCAATAAGGAGTTGGCTTCTGCAACAAACAGCAGCTGGCCAACTACATCCAAAATGACAAATAAGACTACAAACAATGGTTTATAGGGAAAGCGTGAACTGTAGCCTGCTGGTTTGGATGTGCTAGCAAACCATGATTTGTGACAAAAGGGGGAGGGGAGGGGCAGCATGTGAGCCCAAAGGTCCCTTGTGGCTCTTTCACATATTGGCTTGGATCCCACACATCATGTCCACCAGTGAAATGGATTTTCCTCGCCTCTTCCCTCCTGCTGCAGTCCGAAATAGCCTCCCAAAATGGTGCCCCCGGGGCACTCCCCAAGGGCAGCGGGAAGGAAAAATAATATATCATGCCCTCTCTTCGTTTTGGGGGAACCCTCTGTAGAATTTAACCCTATAGGTTGCCACTATTTCTGAACTATGTTACATATACAGTTCTGATTCACTCTCCCATAATACTAAGAAGTTTAACGTTTCTGTGCGACAGGAAAAAAGATACCTAGTTGTCTTCTTGACAGATTTTCTTCTCTTAAAAAAATAGGTTCTGCTATTGGAGACGGTAATTTCCAGAGAGTATTCTCAAGCCCTTCAAGTGGTAACTGCATAGACAGGTTCCGTAACAACTAATCGTCCGTGATGGAAGCAAAACATTTCAAAGCAAACATGCAACTTAACAGCAAAATGGTTTGGGAAGCGCTGAATATCTCTTATGATTCCTTCAGAGAATACGGGGAAGATCTGTGCTCCCTTTCCCCCCCCATTATCCTTCTGTACAATGGACTGTGAAATTATCGTCTGTTTCTTCTTGAAGCAGAACTTCCCATGAACGGGTCGAACTCGTCCTGTAAATGAAGAGAGATTTGTGTTAAACCATCAACAGCATCAAGGAGCACAAAAGCTACCGGCGTTGAACAAATCAGCATAAATTGTACAACAAATTAAAGTGGAAGCTGAACACACCCCCCCCCAAGGTAGTGCTAATAGAATGCAGTTTACAAGGTATGATGCAATCTCCAATGGAAGGCGCTGATACAGGAATCAACAAGCAAATAGTACAAAATGCAAGCGGGGTTGCATAAGACTCCTGGGGGAGGGAAATACCACCCACTCCCCACTGCCTCCCAATCTTTCTGCCCTCTCTCTTTCCCCACTACCCCCCTAGCCCCCTTTCCCTCCTTTCTCCCCTTTCCCCCAACAAGAGCCTTTTCTTTTCTCTCTCCACCCCTCCCACTTTCATCGCCTCTTCCTGCTCCCCCACTGGCCCCCTCTCCCATCCCAACCGCTTCCTCCCCCCCACCCACCACTGTGCTCTCTCCCTTTTGCTGCCACCACTTCCATTTCCTCTCCCCGGGCCCCTCTATTAAGCTCTTTCATTCCTTGTCCAGCGACGGGGTAGTGCCATCCACGATCTCACAGGGTTTCACTAGATCTTGGTCAGGACTGTCCATTTGTGGGGGACATTTTACCACACCCTTGCCTTAAAAAAAACCAACTGATGGATTTTTCTGCAAACCTGAGGAATCCCTCCGCATGCCCACTAGACTTTTTAGAACCCACTGTGCTCAACGGCGAAGGGGCCCATGAAGACGGATTGCCAGGGGAATTTCCTCCCTCATGCTGCCTGAACACACACACACGAACAGATGGGGCAGCCATACACCAAATCAGAGCGTCGGTCCATCGAGGTCTCATGCTGTCTCCTCAGACAGGGCCTCGGGTCAAGCTCTTTCACATCCGCTACCTTCTGATCCTTTAACTGTCGATTCTGAGGATCGAAGCTGGGCCCTTCTGCAGGCCAAGCAGAGGCTCTGCCTCTGAGCCACAGTCCCTGCCCTCCGTCCCAGCCCCCCCCCAATCTCCTTGCACTTCCCTGAACTTCCTGTCCTGACCGCCCTTTCCATCCTTCCTCAGTCACTGTCTCCAGCTCACCAGCCTCTCTGTTTCCCTCTTTCCCCAGCTCTTCTCCCCACTCCTCGCTGCCCGTGTCATTTCTCCCCTCTCACCCCCTCTACTCTCCCCAACTGCTATTTAGGATTGCTACTACGATGCTACCCGATGTGTTTGTGACTTGTGTGTGTGTGGGGGGGGATCCTACTCTCCTGCTTTTAGAAAAGCTTTTTGTGTTGTTCTGCAAATCAGAGGCTTCCCCATAGTTTATAGAAAGCCAGTTTGGTGCAGTGGTTAGGAGCGCGGATTCTAATCTGGGAGAACCGGGTTTGAGCCCCCACTCCTCCACATGCAGCTGCTGGTGTGACCTTGGGTCAGTCACAAGTTCTCTCAGAGTGGTTCTCTCAAGGGCAGTCCTTGAAAGAGCTCTCTCAGCCCCACCTACCTCACAGGGTGTCTGTTGTGGGGAGAGGAAGGGCAGGAGACTGTAAGCCACTCTGAGACTCCCAGTGAAGGGCGGGGTATAAATCCAACCTCTTCTTCTTCTTATAAAAATTGTCTACCTTGGCCCTGTGTGCTTATCTACACAGGGTACCATACTTGGCTAATAAACATATTATACAGCTAGATCTGAGTCCAGTAGCACTTTAGGAACCAAACAAAAGTTTCGTTTCAGCTGTCAAGAGTCAAAGCTCTTTTGACTCTTTTTTGACTCTCGAAAGCTCATATCTAGTTGGACTCTAAGGTGCTACAGGACTCAAACCCAGCTGTTCTACTGCAGACAAACATGGGCTACCCCCTGGGATGTATGAGACAGTTTCACGAGGATACCGCTAAAAGAAACTACCTAACCATTAACTTTTAAAAGAACTCCCACTAGACAAATCCATATGCCGATATAAAAGCAAAAAAACTGATTCTCTTGATATGATTACTTGCATTAACAAGACATGCCTAAGGAATTTCTTAATTTATCTGGATGCCAGAAGCAACACACATCCTGCTTGATTTTTTTTTTGGTCAGATACAAAATATTAAACAAAGATAAAATTACAATTTGTTATTCAACATCTGTCGTTCAGAAAACTGTTACCATAACTGGAGGTCTGTAGCTCTGTTTGGTATTTCTTTTCGACAGATGATTTTTCAAGGTGCCAGTCCCCTGTGGCACTTGATGCTCTGAGCCACTGGTGCGCGTAATGAATCAGCCGTCACCAGATGGAGATCATGCCAGTCGAGAACCCCCGCACGCATTCCGGCAGCAGCAGCAGTATAAAGAGACCACCGGCAAACCCAGTAGTTATGTTGTTGGCGTATCAATAGCCAGAAGCAGTTCCCTGCTGGAAACTGCTTGCAAAGCTTAAGGCTCTGTAGTGCACTTATAGCCACTGGGGGCCACAAGGGAGTGCTCTCAAGAATCCACCATCCTGACCTGACCTGGATACCCCAGGCAAGCCCGATCTCATCAGATCTGGGAAGCTAAGCAGGGTCGGCGGTGGTTAGTACCTGGATGGGAGACCTCGTTGGAATACCAAGCTGAGAGGACAGAGGCAGGCTTTCTTCAGCCACCTCTCTGAATATCCTCCAGGCCCCCCAGTAGGGGTCAGTCACTAGAGGTCAACATGACTTCCAGGTGCAAACGCACACACGTGTGCGCACACACACAAATACAAAAATAACAACAACAAAAAAACAACCCCATCCTGACAACCTGGATTCCAGTATTGTCATGCCCTAGAGCTAGGAACCCAGGACGATACAAACTTAGCATGTGAAATCATCCTGAACCAATTTTGAGTCCAGTGGTGCCTTTAAGACCAACGAAGTTTTATTGAAGGTATAAGCTTTCAGTTAGGGAACCGCCACTATCATAGAGCCCTGGCTCTTGACATCTTGGAACCTAACATCTAACATCTAACTTGTGCTTCAGGGAGATCCAGAGCAGAATGGCTTTCAGAGAGTTAAGCCATCTTGAATAATCAACTGCAGCACTTTATGTAACAGTAATAACAATGGAATTGTTTTTATATGATTTTATGTCATTTTTAACTGTATTTATGTATTATGTATTGTTTGTGAGCCGCCCTGAGCCTGCATTGCGGGGAGGGCGGGGTACAAATTTGAATAATAAATAAACTAATAAACTTTGTTCTGCTGCTTCAGACCAGCATGGCTACCCACCTGAATGTAAAATCCTAGTTATCACAGGTCTTCCATCTTAAAGGTCCAATCAAGGGCCTGCAGCACATGCCAGGACGCTACAGAATGTGAATGGTAGTCCCTGTACCATTTATTTATTTCATTTCCAAGTGTCCACCGTATGACAAGTCTCTACAGTCTGAAATCTGGCTGGCCTTTATGGGGCCTGCACAGAGCAGTCTGAATCAGTCCCTTCGTCCATCACGGTCAGTATTGTCTACTCAGACTGGTGGTGGCTTTCCAGGATCTCAGGCAGAGGTCTTTCTCATCACCTGCTACCTGGTCCTTTTAACTGGAGGTGCTTTGGATTGAACCTGGGACCTTCTGCATGCCGAGCAGGTGGTCTACCACTGAGCCACAAACCCCTCCTTTTGGACCATGATATCCAACTTTGCACACACGATGCTGTTTCAAGATCTCTCTGCCTGGCTATGGACGCCAGCAGCCTGTATACTACCCACTCCAACAGGTGAAGTTTAGAGCTTTCTTTCCAGCTAAAATTCTGCCCACTGGGTAGGAATCACAGAATCACAGAGTTGGAAGGGACCTCCAGGGTCATCTAGTCCAACCGCTGCACAAAGCAGGGAATTCACAAATCCCCCCCCCCCACAGACACACACAGTGACCACTGTTCCATGCCCAGAAGATGAAAAAAAAAACCTCCAGGAAGGTTTAAGGGCAGGCCCTTAAATGGTAGCCACATGGTATATGAGTGATAGGTTGCTGGGAGGTTTTTTTTACCCCACAGTCCATTTGCCCGGACCTGGGAATGCTAGTATTGGAACAGTCAGAAGCTAAGCAGGGTAGGCCCTGGCTACTATTTGGATGGGAGACCTCCTAGGAATGCCAGGGTCGTGACGCAGAGGCAGGCAAATGGCAAACCACCTCTGAACGTCTCTTGCCTTGAAAACTCTACAGAGTCGCCATAAGTCAGCTGTGACTTGATGGAAAACACCCCCCCCCCCAACCCCAGTCCATTTTATTTTCAAACAAGTAAAAAAAAAAAACAATTTCAGGTGGAAGACAAGAGATTCAGTTGAACCTACAGAGTCGCCATAAGTCAGCTGTGACTTGATGGAAAACACACACATACCCCAACCCCAGTCCATTTTACTTTTCAACAACTAAAAAACAAAACAATTTCAGGTGGAAGACAGAGATTCAGTTGACAGGGCAGGCCCTTGAATGGTAGCCACGTGGCATCATTAAACTGTGTTGATCCAGGATTTTTGGCTGCCCTAGGCAATTTGCCCCACTCCAACGTATATCTTAGCATGCACTGAACAGTCGAACAACACTACACTGAATGATGCAGGGTTGCTGGGATGTCAGCATCTTATTTTCATTTTATTTTAAGGGATCTAGTCAATTATATGGGCTTAGATCCAGAGCAGCGTTTCCGCAGGCCACCTGCTGTCCCCAAGAAATAGGATGGAGGTATGGTCCTGGCCCCACTGCTGGACCTCCTGATGGCACCTGGTATTGAGAGCCAGTTTGGTGTAGTGGTTAAGTGCGCGGACTCTAATCTGGGAGAACCGGGTTTGATTCCCCACTCCTCCACTTGCACCTGCTGGATGACCTTGGGCAAGCCATAGTTCTGGCACAGCTGCTCTTGAAAAAGAGCAGTTTCTGTCAAGAGCTCTCTCAGCCCCACCTATCTCACAGGGTGTCTGTTGTGGGGGGGGGGAAGGGAAAGGAGTTTGTAAGCTGCTCTGAGACTCCTCTGGGTAGTGAAGGGTGGG